TGATCCTGAGGTGGACCAGTGAGTAGAGCAGTTGGGAGGTCATGGTCCTGCTCTCTGCTTGTGCCACAGCCCCTTTGCAGCCAGGAAGTGTAACCCAAGGCAGAAGAAGTGGGAGGCAGCTGGAGGTGTCCACTGCCTTAAACTGCCTCTGGCAGATCTTCCAGAGCTCACCTGTCAAAACCCTGTCAAAGCAATCACAGTTCCTGATAAACCACCTGCCTGTAAGTCTAAAGATGTTGTGTCTGATCATTGGGATTGTGGCTCGGGAGGTCTTACAGACAGTGATGGGGACTGGGTGGTATCTTCACCTTCCCTGTTTTCTCATAGGTTCCCACCCAGCTCTTGACACCTGTAGAAGCACGCTGTGCTTTGGCAGTCGGTTGGGAAATGGGTTAAGAGGCCGATGAGCTGGTGGGTAGCAGAGGTCACTTGCCTGATGTGCGTCCAGTGAATTTTCCATCTGGCTGATGTGCCGGTGGACGGGTTATGAGCTGAGAGGATCAGACTACAGCTCTCTGGAGGCAAAGTTGGTCTGAGCCAGCTGGGCTAAAAAAGCCCTTCCTTGGAGTAGTGTCTGTGGTGGGGTCATCAAGGAGAGAGCACACCCAGCACTGCGGCAGGGAGGCAGCATGGCACACGGCGTTTGTTCCTGTAGATTACCCTGCTGTTCAACCTGCCTTTATTTTAAAGATACTTAACAATGTTACTTGTTAGCACTGGAAAAACCTCCCCTTTCTCCCACACCCACTAATAAAAACTGTCCTGAGCCTTTCCACAAGCCCCAGAGCTGCCCCCAGACAAGCTGAGCTTCCTTCTGACCAGTGTCCCTTTGCTTCCATAACCTTATAATAAAACCCTGCTCTGGAGTTGTTTCAGTCCAAAGATAAATTTGGTTTGAAAGCTTTCTCCAGATCTTTGCAGCTCATTTAGGTGAATATGGAAGGAAAGGTTTTATGGTAAAAAGAAAAGGAATGTTCTGATTTCTATTTTGTACTTGGCTAATTCATAAGTGGGCAAGATTGCAACAAACTGCACGGCAGATTTTAAAATAATGTTGAAGAGAGCTTGGGGGAAGGAGGAGGAAGATGCTTGTGTAGACTCAGCTCTATTGAGGAAAAGATCAAGCATTCTTCTGGTGGGTTCTTGTTTCAGTACAGTGTCGTAAAACTGTTCAAAGGAAATCTAACACAAGCAGTAATGATTAAGCAACAAAACCCCCCATTCCTTATAATTATAGCCCAGTGCAATACCAGCCTTTAGCAAATACGTCATTTTCTTCACTGCAGTGTTAAGAAGCCCAAAGCACAGCCTGAACGTTGCCTCTGATCTCACTCCTGTGTGCACGGGTTTCTTTGGTTCAAGCTGAACAAGTTTGAGTTTATGCGCTCGCTAATTGGCTCAGGAGATGTGTGGGTGGAAGCTGCATCCTCTGAGCTTGTCCTGTGCTGGGACTCGCTTGCTCCATGCTGCTGATGCTGATCCACAGGCTGATGCAGAGGCTCCAGCAGTGCTTCACGCCCTGGGGAGCTATCTCCAGTGTATTGGCTTGGGTTTAACCTCCTGAGGAAGAGCAGCTCTGCTCAGCAATGTGTACAGTTACAAACAGCACAGCCAATGGGTTCACTGGTGACTTGCAGTGCCTACAGAGGTGCTGAGGAACACACTGGAGAGACAAGTACCTGGGGTTGTGGTGGCAGCGTAGTGGTGGCCCTGGTTGCCAAAGGACACTACAGCACAGGGGCTAGTTTGTTGATGTTTTCAGGTTTTTATTTAAGAGCTGCAGCACGTGAACATTGGTCATTTGCTTTCATAACCCAGATTTAGTTCAGTCTTAGAGAATTCTATAGCAAAATCACAGATTTTAAGACCAGAAGAAATCATTAGATCCTTGAATTTCTTCCTTAACACAGATGCATTACATATGTGTTGAGCCCAGTGACATGGGTTTGACTGTCTCCACAAGAGATATTGCCACTTTCCTTGTTAGCTTGTTTCTGTGGTTAATCACCTACAGTGTTAAGAGCATGATCCATATTCCTCAGTTGAACTTGTCTGGCTTTGACTCGAACACGTTGGTTCCTATTAAGCGTTTCTGTTCTGGATTAGAGAGCCTCTGGTGCCTGATGGATCATTGCCTTAAAGAACTGGGAAATCAAGTCATTGCCTTCTCTGTGTAACATGACAAACCAACTGAATTGTACAAGTCTTTCACTGGAAAAGTCTTTCTGTTGCTTGAAGTGGTTTTGTGGCTGCTCTCTTTGCCATCTTCAGATTTCTGAGCAAGTTAAAATAGAGGTGTACGGACTAGAAATGGGAAAAGATGAGTCTTTAGTCTATAGACTAAATGTGTGGCCTTTCCCCACAACTTTTCCATACACACTGTCGCCCGTGTTATGTACAAATCAGAAGGAGAAGGGAGCTGCTGATGAACAGCTCTGTGGCAGTTTGCAGCCCTCAAGGAGAGCTGCCTGCGTGCCTGGCAGGAGCCCCTTGGTGACACAGAGAAGACACATCTGCCAATCAGGATTGTGGTGCCATGGATGCTTTCACGTGGAGGGAGTACTGGACCTTATAGGACCTCACTAAAATCCATGGCTTGATCAGGTGGGACAGGGCACTGAGCAGGACCTTGCTCAGGAGGGCCATCTTCTGATGCAGGGACAAATTTTAAGCCAGCAAAACCTTGGAGCGAGGCAGATGTTAGGAGGAGGGAAGGATTGGGTGGTACGGTGCAGAGACCATCACTGAAGGACTCTGGACCATCCAGAGTGGACACCCCTGGGGCCTTTGTGCCTCTGGAGGATTTGGGAGCTGAGGGAGCTCTGTTCACCCTGCGACATTCTCGCAGACAGTTCCCCTAGGGAAGTTTTACATTTTCCCTGTGGGAACAGTACTCTGAATTTCTTGAGCTTGTTTGGGCGTAAAATCTGAATTAGGCACTGAGTGTAAGTTCGGAGACTTGGAGTCTGTTCCTGGCTCGCTTGCTCTGATGTCCTTGGGTGAGCTCGGATCTTGTTGCTAGAGGAGACCTCGCTTTCCATGTGTATTAAATTTGGGTTGTCTGTGTAACAGACAGCCCCGATAAGCTCATTGCAATTTAGGCAGGAGCGCCAGCCTTGCAGGGCTGTTGGCAGCCCCTCACGCAGGGGTTGTGTTGGGCATGAGCAGCTGGCAGCAAACCCAGCACCAGCTGGCGGTGTCGTGCGGCCAGCACCGGGACACGGCCAAGTTTGCTTTCCCCCCCCCTTGCTGTTTCTGCTCCGCCTGGGTTCCTTCTTGCTCCTCTGCCAGGGAGTCCTGGGCACAAGCGAGGGGCTTGGGGACAGAGTGGGACAGAGCTGGGCGTCCTTCCCAAGGGTCCTTCCCAAAACTGTTATGGTTTTGAACAGGGGTGAAGGGAGGTGGGAGGGGAAGGTGCAGGCAGAGGGGTCTGTCTGTACCCACATTTGCTCCTAGCTGTGCCACAGGAGCCCTCCTGGTCAGGGAGAGGGGTGAGCCCCGAACGCTCTCTCCAGGCAGCATGGGCTCCCTCCTCCCCACAGCCCTCTCTCCTCCGGGCCCATCTGGTGAAGTCTGTCACCGGCCCTTCCCCGCGTCCAGCCCGTTTTGGGCAGCAGCCAAGGGACCAGCAGTGTCCCTGCTGCTCTTTTCCCTCCCCCGGGGATGGGGGGGTCGCGGGCTTTGATGTGCGGGCACAGGGCTGGGGACAGGCTGTGTGTGCTCATGAGAGCCTGGCCAGGCTCCAGCTGCCTTTGAAGTGCTCCAGTGATCAGGATGAAAGGGAGGGGAGTCCTTCCCCAAACCATCTGGCTCTAATTGCAGGTAGAAATGCCTCTCTTCGTGTCGTCCCCCCCCGCCCCCCGTGGGGAGGGGGCACACCGCTCTCTTCGTTAATCCCGCGGCTCTTGGCTGGGCTGGCGCGAAGGGCGAGAGCTTGGGAACAAAAGGGGGTTTCAGCTGGGCAGCCAGAAATAGGCAGAGATGCTGGGGGTTCGGGCACCTCCGCTCCCAGCCCAGAGCTGCGGGGGCCCCCGCGGACCTTCCCGGGGACGGCCTGAGCCGTGGTGGAGGGGGGGGAGTTTGCCAGTTGTTCCCATCTCCGGTTTCTCGGGCGCACTGGAGCCTGCTGGCCCTTTGACTCGTGCTCTTTCATGCCGGCGCGCGCCGAGCGCGGGGACGAGGAACGTGGGAACTCGGGGCGGGCCCGGCCGTTTGGCAGGGTTCGTTGGCTGCATCCCCATGCCCCCGGCCGGCGCTGCCACCCCAGCCAGGGTCCCTGCCCGCTCCCCCTGCATCTCCTGGGCAGGGCTGGCCACGAAGCACCATGTGCCACCGCAGCGGCAGCAGCGGTTAGAGCCATTGGCAGCACTGGCAAGGAGGTTTTGTTGTCCTGTCCTGCTGAGCATCTTCCCTTTTCCCAAGGAGATAGTAGAGGTAGCTGGGTTGTATCTACCAGCACTCTCTTTCCGTCCTTGTGGTAGCCTTTGGGCAGCATCTGAAATCTCAAACCTGTGTTGCTTGAAGTTGTCTACCCTAACACTGGCACCACAGAACAGTTTATGTAGGTGAGGTTTTCCCCCTTGTTATAAAGCCCTTGTTATAAACTTTTTGTATAAATATATAAAGTGATTAAATGTTAGCTCTGGTAACTCTGTGATCAGAAGCAGCCTTGCCATTACCCATCTCTAGGGACCAAGCAATGGACAAAAAGTGGGAGTGAGAGGCAGAATGGGAGAGAGAGCGTGATTGCAGAGATAGGAAGCACCAGCCTGAGTAGACCTGTAGGTTGTTCAGGTGCAGTGGGACTGAGTGCTGGCACAGCACAGACCCCTGGGTATTAACCTAATTAATTAACATGTTCATTGCTGCCCTGTTGCTGCAATAAGATGGGGTGGAGGAACCATTTGGTGCAGGAGATCAGACCTCCCTTTGTGGGGCAGCAGTTTGCTCCCTGCACAGCCACCCTGGGGAGATGTCCTAATTACCTCTTCCCTCTTCAGGTCTCTGCCTCGCCTGATCCCCGTTCAGCGAGGGACGAGGAGCTGCCACCATCGGGCAAGGCACGGGGGCTGAGACGGAGCGGGCAGGCTGGCCCACGGCGGCACCGGCGCCGTGGAGTGGCTCAGCAGGCTGCCAGGAGCCCAGCGGTGCCCCAACCTGGTGGCGCTGGCCGGGAGGACAACCTGCCCTTTGTGCTGGACCTGCAGAGCTTGCCAGGGCTGGCCAACGTGGACCTGAGCGCCCAGAACCCCAACATCCAGGTGGGGAGCCGGTCTGGGCGGGCTGCGGGAGGATGTGGGCAAGCACTGCCATCTGCTCCCCAGCCTTATTTCGTTCCCTAAGAGGAAAGATCTTGTGAGCGGGATCTGTGTGGCCACTGCCCTCTGTCTTCTTGGTAACTACCAGATGCAAATAGCTGGCACAGACAAGCTCCTTGCCAGAGGAATTTTGCTCATGGCCTTTTCCCAGTCCCAACTCCTCTCCGTAGAGCAGGAGCAAACAGTCCTATGGGGGTGATGAAACCTCTCAGTTTCTAAAGGTGTGTTAGTCCCCACGGGTGACCACCAACCCCTCCGCACCTCCTGCTCTGCCCCTGCTTGGTCCTTCCAGGTGAGGCAAGACCTCTCGCTTTCCTTGCATGGTCCTGTAGCTCAAAGCATCTCTGGCCTCTCGGGCTGGGAACCGGTGTGTGGGCTGGTAGGTCCGTCCCAGGGCTGTGCCCCGGCTCACTGCCCTGCCTCATATCTGGCCTCCAGGTGACCATCGAAGTGGTGGATGATCCTCAGGCCGAGATGGAGATGGACTTGTTGAAGGAAACAAGCAATGACTGGTCCCTGACATCCTCTGAATGGTTGTCCCACAAGGACCTCTTCTGGCCCCTCTTCTGGGAGTACACCGACCCTGCTGAGGAGGAAGAGGAGGAGGAAGAGGATGACAACCTGGATGTAGGGGACAGGGAGGAGGAAGAGGAAGAGGAGGAGGAGGAAGAAGAGGAAGATTACACAGCAGAGTATGAGGAAGAGGAGTCCACGCTCAGTGGAGTGGGAGGTGACTGGGATCAACAGTGGCCCGGGCAGAAGAACTGGATCTTTAAGGAAAAATATAATTATGGTGAGTCCTTGGGTGCACACGGCTGCCCTGCAGACCAGCACTGTCCAGACCCTGTCTCACTGCAGGGAGAACAGCTCTGTACTGGGGATCACAGCATGGTGGTGCTCAGCTCCTACTTAGAAAGTAAGTGAGCATGCCGAGGAGCAAGGCCAGCACCTCACTGGGGCTGCCAGTGATCAGACATGCCAGTGTCCCAGCAAGAATTGCCCTTGCATGTAATCAGACTGGAGCATGGACGCTGTAGCTGGAAGGCACGCTCGGATGAGAAATCACAGAATGGCAGGGGTTGGAAGGGACCTTCAGAGATCATCTAGTCCACCCTCTAGATCTAGCAGGTTCAGCTAGAGCAGGTTGAACAGGAACGCATCCAGGCGGGTTTTGAGTATCTCCAGAGAAGGAGACTCCCAACCTCTCTGGGCAGCCTGTTCCAGTGCTCTGTTGCCCTTGAAGTAAAGAACTTTTTCCTCATGTTGAGATGGGATTTCCTGTGTTGCAGCTTGTGCCTGTTGCCCCTTGTCCTGTGACTGAGTACCACTGAAAATACTCTAGCCCCATCATCTTGACACTCGCCCTTCAGATATTTATAAGCATTGATGAGGTCCCCTCTCAGTCTTTTCTTCTCCAGGCTAAACAGCCCCAGGTCTCCCAGCTTCTCCTCATAAGAGAGGTGCTCCATTCCCCCGACCATCTTTGTAGCCCTCTGCTGGACTCTTTCCAGTAGTTCCCTGACCTTCTTGGACTGGTGAGCCAAGAACTGGACTAAGTACTCCAGACATGGCCTTACCAGGGCAGAGTGATACAGTGTAAATTTTTAAAATATTTTTAAATATTTATCAAATGTTTTAAAATATTTATTAAAATGTTTGAAATAATCACAGTGTAATTGTTTAATGGCAAGCGCTGCTGCCATTGACTTAGGTCCCTGTAGTGACACTAGTGCCAGAAGCCTTTGCCACAAACCTGGGCACCCCCCCAGGAGAGGAGCTGCAGGGGGCTAGATGGGAGATGCTGGTGGGCAGACAGGCCAGGGCACCACAGCAGGTCCCTCCTGCAGCTTCGCAGCCACGAGCCCAAAACCAGTCAACCTTTGCTAACACGTGGTGCTTCGGCATCATGGCCAGCACATCAGGCAGGTTCGGTGAGGATGGGCAGCAATGCCTGTCTGGGTCAGTACGGCCATGAGAAGAGCTGTGAGAATGAGAGCCTTTACTCAGGCTGGGGTTGCTTCCCTGGGGTTGCCAGTGAGGACAGGATTGGCCCGTGGCATCACGTGGCTGGGCACCTCCATATGTCCTGGTCAGTGCTGGCCCTGCATCCCTGTAAAGGACATCCCAGGGACAGGGCAGAGCTGATGGGAGGTCCCAGGTGGCTGTTGGCTCCCCTCCTGCTGAGGTCCACCACTCTCAGCCTCTCTCCTGCTGTGCAGACTATGAAGATGAGGAGGAGTGGAGCCCCTGGTCCCCTTGCAGCATCACCTGTGGCAGTGGCAACCAGAAGAGGACCCGGTCTTGTGGCTATGCCTGCACAGCGACGGAGTCGAGGACCTGCGACCTGCTGCGCTGCCCTGGTGAGCCCTTTGACATACCAGTGCTTGGGCACTGTCCGACCCCAATGTGAGCTGGTCCCCCACCACTGCGGGCTGGGCATTGCCTGTGCTTCAAGAAGTAGTTATGTTTAATGTGATCTGGGCTAATGACTGTAGGGGTTTGTTTCCATGAAGAAGCTCTGCTGAGGCTTCGTGTGATGTCCAAGAGGGTGGTAGAGCTTGTGTCCAGCTCGGTGTGCAACTCCCTGCACCTCTCTAACACTGGGGAGCTTGAAATCCTCTCCTGAGGCCTGTTGAGAGCTAGCTCCATCCACTGGGATTTGCATAACCCACAGCCTTGGGCAGGTTTGTCCTGCTTGTCTTGCTGCCATTCCTTCCTTCCTGGCACAGGTCTGTGTCACCAAAGCGGTGGCGGGAGAAGGGGTGGAAGATGGATGGTGTCTGGTGCCCTTATGGAGGAAAAAGCCTCACCATTCCTCATGGTGTTCAACCTGGCTCTTTGGTTTTATTCTTCCCTCTCAAGGAGCAGAGGGGGAAATGGTCTTCCCCACAGAGGAGACACCTTTCAAAAGCGACAACACCACAGAGCTGTTCAACTCAGGTCAGCCTCTGCTTCTGCCTTCCTCTGGGGGCTTCGGTGCCAGACGCCATGGGGGGGTGTAGCTGGCTGGTGGGGAGGGCTCTACTGAGGGCTCCCACATCTAGTGTCCAAACCTAAGTGGCCCAAACCACTGCCCACGTGTAGGCTTCAACAATCATGCTGGGAATCCCAGTTCCTCCCACAGCCCTGGTACAACACGGTCCTGCTTTGCGGTGGAGTGTCCGAGGCCACTCTGCCACGTGCCCTCTTCCATGGGGGAGCGCTCCTCCTGCCAGCCCAGTCCCTGTAGCCATGGGTGCCCTCGCAGGGGCTCTGCATCAGCACAAGACCCCTTCCTTCCCTCTGTCGCTCCCTCAGGATGGAGCCTGGCTGTAGCTCATCCCAGGAGCCTGGCTGCTCCTGCCTGGTGCTTGCAGGCTCTGCTGGTGGTGCTGGTGAGGCCATGGGCAAATGGCAGCTGGGTGAAGCGGGGGGTGTGGGGTGCGTGTGCCCTCACACTTTTGGTGCTCTCCTCCCCAGAGGTGGACAGCTGTGAGAAGTGGCTGAACTGCAAGAGCGACTTCCTCACCAAGTACCTGAGCAAAGTGCTGACAGACCTGCCCAGCTGCCCCTGCTCCTACCCGCTGGAGGCCGTCTACAGCGCTGTCAACCTGCGGGATGAGGGACAGGGCAAGAGCTTCCGATGGCGGGACGCCAGCGGCCCCAAAGAGCGCCTGGACATCTACAAGCCGACGGCGCGCTTCTGCCTGCGCTCCATGCTGTCCCTCGACAGCACCACCCTGGCCGCCCAGCACTGCTGCTACGACGAGCACACCCGCCTCATCACCCGCGGCAAGGGGGCTGGCGTCCCCAACCTCATCAGCACCGAGTTCTCCCCTGAGCTGCACTACAAGGTGGACATGCTGCCCTGGATCCTCTGCAAGGGTGACTGGAGCCGCTACCATGCCGTCCGGCCCCCTAACAATGGGCGACGGTGTGCTGACAACCCCGCCGAGGAGGAGTACCTCTCCCAGCTGCAGGAGGCCAAGGAGTACTAGCCACAGCCACACTCAGAGGAGCCATGGCCACCGCCGGCTCCCAGCCTGGCGAAGCCCCGGCCCTGCTAATGGGCTCCTTCTGGTGCTGGGCGGAGCGGGGAGGATGCACCGTCCATCTTGTCCCCTCAGAGGGGTACGTCAGCCCCCCCTCGGTGTTCCAGGGGTGCCGGAGGTTATCCCGGTGCAATCCCTGCTGTGCCACTTGGGGTGGTCCCACACCCCGGGGTGCCTGGGCTGGCGTGTGGGGAGCCACCAGGGATGGGAGGTGTAAAGGGAGTGGGGGGCTGCTCCCATCTGCTTATTGCAGCCTTGAAAGCTGAGCATCTGCAGGGTGGAAATGGCCTCGGCTCCTGCTGGCTTCACGCTACATCTGAGGAGCTGGCCTGCTGCAGGCAGAGCTGCCCGCTCTTGCCTGTTACACCTGCCCTGGCACATACTGGTCTTCTTCTGAAAGTGGGGATGGTCCTCCTAGAGAGGGGCAGGGCTGTCCCAGCCATGCCTACAGAGCAGGGCCTCCCCTCTCCTCCATGCGTGGTTGGGAAGGAGCAGGGAGAGGCTTAGCAGGGGTCCAGGGGGAGAGTGGGGCAGAAAGAGGCTGGCCCCCTGGGCTCCCCTGGCAAGATTGCCTTGCCACCATGGTTTTTGGCTGTGAAAGGGAACACTGGGTGCCAAAGCCAAACAGGGGTGGACCTCAGAGGAGGTCAGCATCAGAGGGGGGCACCACCTGTGTGCATTTCAGCCCCTCTGCCTCAGTGCTTGGTGGAGCAGGGTGGCAACACCCATGCAAGTCCTACCACCAGCCCAACCCTACACTTCAGCTCTCCAGCAGCTCCCCAGCAGGTTTCAGTGCTCGGGAGTACCCGTAACATGTCCCAGCAGAAAGTCCTGCATTTCTTACCCACAGCCCTGCTGGGGGCAGGAGGCCACCACTTGTGCCATCGCTGGAGAGAAGCAAGAAGCACTGAGCCAAGTTCTCCCTGGGGATGGGAAGTCGTCAAGGTGCCACTGCTAGCACCCAGCATTACCCCATTCTGGTCTGCTGCTGGCCTTGGGCCCTGCTCCATGCTGCATCTGCCCAGGTCCCCAGCGAGAGGCAGCCCAGAGAAAGTGAGTTGTGGGAGCATCCTGCACTCCTCAGGCTCGCTGCCTGGCCAGGTGAGCAAGTGTGCTTCCAAAGGAGGAAGACACACACACATGCTAATAGTGTCAATACCTGGTGTCTGCAGTTCATGGATCATGATGCTCTCCATTGGCCCTTTGGTCTTGCCTGGGTTTTATTCAGCTTTTCACAGGTATCTGTGCCAGTTTCTCCCAGCGTGTTTTGGGAGCTCCCAAGTTTTCTGCACAGAAACTAGGCTGAGCACCTTTATCCCTGGACATTCAGTCGCTGAACCTGGCAGAAACTGTTCGTAGCTCTTATTTAGCAAATTTTATGCATCTGAGGAAATAAAAGAGCAAGTCAAGCACACATGAAGAAGAATGGAGTCGTTTCTAGACTAGAGGTTTCACCCAAGGCTGTTGGCTACTCCATGTTTTTCTGCAGGACACCATTGAACAAAAAAACCCATCTGTCTGGGTGCAGAGGTCCTCTGTTGATAGTCCTTTTTGCAGGAGCTTTCTCCAGAGCCAATGAATATCCATGGTCTGATAGCTCTTTGGGGAGTCTTTCTGGGAGTGTCTAATATATGTAGAGCATATGTTGATCCTTTTGCCTTGGTTACTGATAGAATATTGCATCCTTGGTCATCAATACCTAAGACTTCATTGCTGGTAAAACAAAAGTATTAATGAAGTTATCCCTGAATTATTCTCATTTAACTATTATTCCACACTCGTATCCCCACAGTCCAGTTTACGGGTGCTATCAAAACCCAGGCAGACACTGTCCATGTCCCAACAGGCATGCAGTCTAAGATGACCACTGTTACGTACAGGGTGAGAAGGAAGACAGAAGCAGATAAGCATGGATGGAGACTCAGACCCTGGTAAATTTTCATGACCGTTACATGTTCCCTAGCCCAAATGGTCATTTGCTCACTAGTATTTAGTAAAGAGGTGGGTCATAAAGAGGTGGTCAAGAGGGGGTGGCCCAGAACGTGCACGGGGAGGCTCAGCAACAGACATGGAAGCATTTCTGCCGGAAGCAGACAGATTGAGCAGCCAAGGCCATGGAAAGATGAGTTTATTCTCTTCTATTTGGCAGAACATCTTTTCATATTTCCTCGCTCATATCATATGTCATCATTAACATCAGCAGACTCTCAGAGGAGCTTATTTACCATCAGAGCACAGACTTCTTTAAAACAACCTCCCATTAAATGTGCCTAGTGTCCAGTATTGGACCCACACATGGAAGCAGGACCTCTGCAAACAGCTTTTTTTGAAGGAGGCTTTCAATAGCTCTGCCAGTTTGTTAGACTGGCTGCTCTCTGAGGAAGTGCTCTGATGATAGTGACAGTTACCCAGGATTTGCACCCTCCTCCGCTTTAAACTGGGTATGTCAACCAGTCTAACCCCCCAAAAAGAAACTATTATTTCTGTAATAAATGGAGTTGCCGTCCAAGGGGGAGTAGAAAAATTTCTTGCACCAAACCCCCCCTCCCTGCCCCTCTAAAAGCTGGTTAAAAGCCGAGTGGCTGTTCTGCCTCGCTGCCTCTGTGGTTTAGATGATACAGGCATGAACTGGAGCGTGAGAAACAAGAAGCAGTGTTGTTCCTCACACAAGCACCTTACACACCGGGAGGCTTTGCAGGGCACCATGAGAGAAGTAGACATTAAACAAGCGTTTCTTTTTATATCCCATCAAAGATTCTGTTACAGCCCACTGCTATTTAAGTGATGAATCTCTAAGCTTCCACTCCTTAAGTTTATTGTGTTTTTTATATATAATATATATAAAATGTCTTTTATTCCTACAAAATTTCATAGAGAAGAATTCTTTATTCTGATGCTGCAATAAAGCACTTTATATATGTATGTCTTGCTGATGTCATTTGGTTGGGACTGGAGCATTTATTGCTATTTGTTTTGGTTGAGAGGGATACCACTACGTTGAATGCTGTGCGTCTCGGGTCCCCAGCCCCAGTTGTACTGCAAAGACCCTGGTGGCTTTGCTTCCTTCCCTTAGTATTTGCATTTGATGGTGTCTGGCTGCAAGAATCCCAGCTAACAAGAGCTGTTTGGACCCCACTGCCACAGCCATGAGATATTGTGAAGTCCTCACAAGGAAGGAAGCCACCTATGAGAAGACCATCAGGGTCAGTGCTGAGAAGTAAGAACCTTTCCCGTGCCTCAGCCCTGACCCCAGGTTTTATTCCATGCTCAGCCTGGCAGACCTGGGTGCCAGCCGACCTTACACCAGCTTTAGGCAGGTGTTGAGCATGGGAGCAGGTGAAAAAAAAACAACCCAGCATCATCCCAGCTGGAAAACTGGTTTGGCAAACGACCTCCAGAGCCAACAGGTAATGGGGATAGCTGGGGGATTTGCAAAACTTTCCAGGGATCACAACTTTTTGTTGCCATTAATTTGCTGCATAAATTGTGACCACTTCCAAACTCTTGCTATTTCCAGCTGTTTTCTCTCCTTCTCTCTTGCTCCTTTTGCTTTGTGCTGGCTGCACATCTGTCAAGGGTTATCTGCTGCTCCGGCACGGGGCTCTGCTCCGCAGCTGCCTGGCGCCATTGCTGGCCTCTGCCTGGGGGGAGCAGATGGCTCCTCTCCGTGAAGGATGCTTGAGCTTCCCGCTGGTCCTCTGCAACATCAAAAACATAGTTGTATGGAGCCCAGGCCAGGGGGAGCAGGCTGAGCTCTGCTCTGCAGGAAAAGCAGCAGAGAAAATCACTCTTTCCCTGAAGGGGCAGTCAGTGGTTACTACTGTATATATAACATGCCTTTATCTTCTGCAACAAGGTCCTGCTGTGCTGGATGCTGAGCCCTGCTCCGAAACTCCTGGGCTATAGGAATCCCACAGCCAGTGGGTGGAAGTGGGGAGAATTCCTGCTCTGGTTCTGCAGGTGCTCAGGACCTGGAGATGTCACCTGAAATCACAGAGTGAGTCTGCGGCAGAGTCTCAAGCTGCACCTTTGCCTGCTGCTTTGAACACAAGACTTCTTGACCAGTTTTCTTAGTTTGCCAGCCTGGCCTGGAGGTGTTCAAAAAACGGGTTGATGTAGTGCTGGGAGATACAGTTTAGTGATGGTGTTGCTTTTTGTTTGTTGTGTGGGTGTTTATTTTTGTCAAAATTAGGTTGACGGTTGGACAAGATGATCTTTAAGGTCCCTTCCAACCTAGAAGATTCTGTGATTCTGTGATTCGTGTGGCTCAGCTGTACCCAGCCCCTGGCATCCGAATTGCAGCTGAGTTAGTTTGGACACAGAAGGAGCTCTGCCCAGATTTTACTTGGCACAATGATCAGCATGTGGTTGTCCCTGCTGACCTCCCCTCTTGGCCCCAGAGGAGTTGCCAGCAAGCTGTGCAAAGTCCTTTTGACTATGAATGACCCCTCGAAGGCACGGGTGCATGGCCAGCTGCCTGGAGGACAGGCAGGATGCCTGCAGCCCATCGCTCAGGGATGACCATGAGATTTCATGGAAACATGTTTACAGCAAGAGAAATCCTGTTAGCTGTCTGCATTTTTTCGGGGCTCCTGCTCCAAGAATCTGCTTCTTGGAAAGCACACAAAAAGCCCAGCTGGGCCCAGAAGGAGCTGCTATGGGAGGATAAGACAGAGGATGAAAACAGCAACAGAGTTTGGCCAAAGGCAGTGGAGCAAACCTGAACTGCAAGGCCTGGCCTTAGCCTAGGAAAGAGCCAAGTGTGGTTGTGATGGTGTATGGACCTTGAGCTAAAACTGAAGCTCTGGAGAGGAAAAAAAACCCCAATCTTTCCTGGTCTGTAAAGGGACCCACTCCACTGTGTGGCCACATCAGCCCTCCAGGCTGGTGGCGCAGTGTGGCATGCAGCTGCCAATGCCTCTGTAGAAGGATAATTAAAAAAAAAAAATCATCACACTAGCTGCAGTTTTTTGACAGTGAACACTGGGCCAACAGGAGCCTGTGGCAAGACCTGGTCTCCTGGGCTTTGCCTTTGCCCTGAGTGCAGAGAATCACCCCTGGCAGGTCCCCAGCACCGGCAGAGCTCGTCCTCCTCTCTGCTGTCACCAGCGCCATACGGAGGGATGCCCCAATCACACAACAGAGGATGGACCCATACGTTTGCAGTCAGGAAAGGAATGTCTCGCCCTCCTTCCCTGCCACACAGCAGCCAGCTGCCCCTCGGAAATGCCTGAGAGGAGCCCAGCTGGCGGGGTCCGGCCCTTGCTTTGTTCCAGGTCTTTGCAAGCATGTCAGCTATTCTTCTCTCCCTGCATGGGAGCCCGGCAGCAGGGATCACAGTCCTGCACAGCTTGACCATCGTGCATGGGACAGGGGCCACAGCGAAGCCCATGCACCAGCCAGCATCTCCCACCACACCAGCCCCGACCCCAGCCAGGCTTGTCTGTGCTGGGGGAGCTGAGCAACCACCAGCAAGGTGACCATGAGTTTTCTGAAGAGCCAGGAGAAAGTTCCACACGTGCACACAGCCCCCCCCCCCC